GTTATGCCAAAAGAAGGAAAAATAAAATCTCAGAATACAATTGGAAGTAGAGAGAAAATGTGTTCAAATAAGATGGAGTAAATCATTCAGTTATAAGCAGAGTAAAATACATTTATATGCCCAGTCATTTCTGAAAAGGAGATTGCATAATTGCATGTTTATAGATGAGTATATGTTTAATAATTTAATTAGGTTATGTAATTAATAATTCATGAAGTTACCAGCAATATGGACCTCAGATTTTCCTTTTCATCATTTTTTTTTTTTTTTTTTTTTTTTTTTTTGGAATTTAACACTAGTTGCTGAAGAGTTCAGCTGGGAAAATGACTTCATATCAACTGAAAATGACTAAACAACATTCTCTTAATAGCAGAAACTCCAGTATCCCATTCTCTATGATGCTACTGGTCATAGGCGTCAACAACAGCATCTCTTCTGATTTCTTGTTCAGAGATGTGGTTATGCTAAAGCTTATAAGGCTCATCACTAGAATAGGAGTGCTTGTGCAAGTATACTAATGTGTTTAAACCACTGAAGAGCAATACCCAAGACAATGATCTCATATCAACTTAGGTTTTGACATGTACTTAAGTATTTCCTTGAATGCACAGGCTGAAGAAATCAGATTTATTATATACAGAATATATATACATACATACAAATATATACAAACACATTATACAGCCAAAGGACTATGCTCCACAGACTAAGGGAAAGGGTACTGTAAATAGCTTTAGCACAACTAACTAGAAGAAGTGCCCTGGGTGTCAAAGCAGCAATAATCATCAAATTCTGAGCCTCGCCCCTCAACTGGTGAGATTCTGTTCACAGAATCATTCTTCGAATGCCACATTCACAGCAGAACTTTGCCCACTCAACAGGGTATTTTGTCCCACACTCATGGCAGAACTTTGGTAAGTGTCCAGATGAATTTCCCTCAATGCCTTTAATGTTTCCACCATTAACTGAAGATGTATAGTCTCCATCTGGCCTACAGAAGTAGAGAAAGAAGTGCAGGAATCAATTTCACTCACACTAGTAGTTTTAACATGACCCAATAAATAACAGGAAGTAATTAATATACAGAAACTAAAATCTTAGTGTGAACTTTAATAGTCCTCTAGCTCAAGTTGTAAACGATCTCTGGGCATGCATGGTGAAACACCCCTGTAATTCAGATGTGGGAAGGTAATGGAAGAAGGCTACAGGCTGCTATGCACTTAAAACTTGAGATCAAAAGGAAGTAAATATCAGCATCTCGTGTTTTTTGTTTTTGTTTTTGTTTGGTTTGGTTTTTAGAGACAGGGTTTCTCTGTAGCTTTGGAGCCTGTCCTAGAACTCACTCTGTAGACCAGGCTACCCTCGACCCTTGAACTCACAGAGATCCACCTGTCTCTGCCTCCCAAGTGCTGGAATTAAAAGTGTGCTCCACCACCGCCTGGCTTCTCCTGTGTTTTAATACTCCACACACACTCTCCTGATTGTAGTCCCAAGAGGACTAGTTTGTACAATCACTAAAGTTATCCAAATGGAGACACACAGTTAGATATTGACAGTAAATTACAGCTTGGTATAACCCTTACAAATCACAAACACAATATTAAATGAATTAGGATGTATATATAATATTAGTAAAGGGAGAGTAACAAGGGAAAAATAAACTAGGTTTATGCCAGTGAAATATATAATTAATTCAAAATGTTAAAAAAAAAATACCCAACATGATCTATCACCCATTAGTAAATATTTCATATAATACTAAAACTTCAACTTTGCTAGGCATTACTAAATTCTGTACATAATTGCTGGCCAATGCATGCTCCAACTAGAAGCACACAAGGTTCTTCATTATCCCATTTCATATCAATGTGTTTTGTGCTAAGACATTTTCTTTTGTTCACCTCGTAAGTATAAAATGGTTACCTATATAGTTTTAATATATGCATATTCCTGTTTGTAAGGCTAAATATCCTTTTACATTATTCTGGCATTGACAGTTCTTCTCCTGGCAATTTGCTGTTCCTGTCCTCTATTCCCATCAAGCCACAGAGTTATCAATTATATGGGTTCACCCTTACTATTGTATTTGTAGCAAATCCCTACATATCACTGTCAATCAGGCAAGTCCAACTCAGTGACCATGGGCCTCATGTGGCCAAAAACAAGCTACAAATGGGACCCAACACAAAAATCAAAAGCTTATTAAAATATTGTTAGATTGCATTTTTTTTTGCATTTTTTGATAAGTCAACTGCACTGATATCAAAATTAAACTTTGTAGATGACAACACAGTGACACAATGTCAAAGGCTTGGACACATTTGGCTGTGAACAGTAAGCTCCTCTCCCAATATGTGGTGTGATTTCAATGAATCTCAGGCTTTTGCAGCACTAAGTATTTTTTTTTTGGCTTTAGTATGGTCAAATGTATCCTTTGCTGTAAATCAGTATTTATTAAATTATTCAAGAAATCCCTTCCTATATCAGATAAGGACTTCCTGTTTTTCTACAATCTTAATGGCTTTACTTTCCAAATATAGGCATTTAGTTTACTAACAATTAATTTACTGTTTTGTATGTGTGTATGGGGGGGGGGAGAGGGAGGGGAGAGAGGGAGAAAGAGAGAGAGAGAGAGAGAGAGAGAGAGAGAGAGAGAGAGAGAGAGAGGAGTATCAGTGTACATACTCAAGCCTATGCACAGCAAGGGCTCTGATCACTGATTTTCCCCTATACGGGCAAATTTGTTAGTTCCAGAATACTCCACCCTAGACATCTGCATTGCTTCCTCTGCGGTGGGGCAGATTTCTAGCCATCCATGTGACTAAGGCCTTTCCCTCTAATAATTTCATTTTATTTGTTTATCCAGGAATCAATATCAAACTGTATCAACTACTGTACTTCACATATCATTCACAATATTGTTTTTTGCCTTGTCCGGGTTAATTTCAGACCTTTGTTCTTTACACATATTTTCAAAATGATTAATCAAGATTCATGAATTATCTGAAAATAATATTAATAAATATTAATTAAGTGATTGGTACAGAAAGCTTTTCAAAATGGATTTTTGGTATTAAATATTCTAAGGGTAGATTACATCTACTTTATATTCTTCAATATCATTGAAAGTTTTAAATTTTCTATGTCAAAAAATTTGCATGGTCTTTAAACTGATTCCCTTGCAATTTAAATTTGTGTATTCAAGTGACATTATTATAAAAACTGTATTTCCTGCTTGTTGCTGAGAAAAAGACTGTAATAACATCTAAGATACCAATCTCTAATCAGGAAATATATTAGGTATTAATTGTGATTTACTCAATAATTGGTCTTTTCAATATATATATTAACAAATTTTCACTATAATCTCACATTTCTAGGTGTTTCACCAAGAACAATTTTGAGACTGTACACTCTGTTATTTTTCTAAGAAAAGAAATATCTCAGAAATCCTGGTCTGTTACAATCATGATTGTTACCCCCTGAGATGTAAAAGTGTTAAAAAAAAATCAATGAGAGAGGTTCTGGCTTCTTTTGAGGTATCAATCATTTAAGAAAAACTGCATTTCTTACTGGGAAGTTTCTGCTTCTGTTTGTTAGTATTTCTTTTCTTTTGATCGCCTCTCTAGATACAACATTTTAGAATACTAAAGTATATGATACAGAAATGTATATATTTTTTAATTTATTAAGTATAAGAGAATGTTAATCCTACTTCCAACCTTGATTCAAAGTACATGGAGATACACATATGTAAATCTGTATATATATCACAGTAAAGCCATATTTCAAACCTCCAAGAACAAGGTTCATGTCTATGACATTTGATATACATTAAGATCCCAGCAGAGACAGACAGCATTTATTCAAGAATCTAGCTGGGAGCATAATAATTCATGTGTTTCACTGTTATTCACACCTTGTTACACGAAGCATCACTCTTAAAGCTCTGTCTATGGCAGATGCACAAATGCCCACTCTCTAAACCTGATCTCAAAATCTATCACTTTAGCTTTAGGAAGTCCCAAGATAATTCTGACAGGCAGCTAAGGTTGAGGACAAGATCGAGGATTTGAACCTATCCCTGAGTTAAATCAAAATTCTGGAGAATTGGATATGTTACACACTTGAGACAAAGCATGTAATATACACTTATGACACACACATCACAACTATGAGTATATCACAGGGTATCATGTCCTTGGCCTTCAGTGAAACAAACTATGAAACTTGTGCCATGTTTACAGTAAGGATATTACTGAAGTTATTCACTATGTCACCCAGGACCTTCCTCATAAACCTCCTAGGAGAGTTTTTAAGACCTCAGACTAAGTATACATTTTAGAGAAAATGTAGTTTTTACTTTATAGACATTATGAACCATACCTCTACAGCCATTGTCCCCTCACTACTAAAAATTTCAAAATCCAGTTTGTAGCTCATGGCTCACCTGTGGACAGGGCCTCATGACACATCTTATGGACAAACTTGATATTAACTTTCCAGTTATCTCTTAATTATGATTTTTCCATTTTTCTCTCTATCTTTTCATTCAAAAATAATGTTAATCTGTATGTGTGTGTGTGTGTGTGTGTGTGTGTGTGTGTGTGTGTGTGTGTATACATAAACACACACACACACACAGTCTTTTCAGGAAAGGCTTAAATATCAAAATATAGAAAATTATAATAGTGATATTCATATGGTCTATTTGCACAGTTAATACTGCACTTGATATTTAAACATGCAAGAAAAAAGGAAAAGAAAAAGCTAAATAAATGCAGTAAAACTGAACATGGGAATATTTGAGTATTTACAATGAAAAAGTATAAGAAAACAGTATTTATACCTCAACAATTTCTAGTCCATTTGAAGGCTACATTAAGTTCTACAATAAAGGAAACCAAATCATACATAGCATATTACCTACCACTGTATATAGAACTTGACTGCATACATTAATTTTCATTCTAATTATTAGGTTAGTGAGCTAAACATACCTGGCTACATAGCTCTCAGTAAATGTTTTTCTTTTGTTGGTAAGCACACCAGCCCCAGAATTTCTTGCCAAGCTAGGAGGTGTAGTATTTCGAGGTTTGATGTTAGCTCTGGAAGAGAGAAAGTGACAACATGATGAAAAAGTATAAACACGAATGTTTCTTGATTGATCTTTTTATACCAGTAGAAAAACAGAGGCCGTAGAGAAGTCCAAGAGAATCAATTCCAAGTAAGTATTTTTAATCTGAAAACAAGCAGTATAATGTGTTAATGATACATTGTATAGCATTACTTTCATAAAATACAACATAGATCAAAATATTACTTATGCCTTATAGAAAATTTCATTTTAAAAGTCTAGTTAAATCCCAGCACTCGGGAGGCAGAGGCAGGCGGATCTCTGTGAGTTCGAGGCCAGCCTGGGCTACCAAGTGAGCTCCAGGAAAGG